ATGCCATTGGACGGCAGTATAATGCCATAATATGTGATATTTAGTAATCATTTGTATCACTGTGGAGGAATATCAGATTTCAAGTATTCTGTAAGATATGTTATTAATTTTGCCATATAATCCTGTCCAGTACTGTGATGAAAGGAATATCAGATTTCTGGTATTCTGTAAGATATTAATTTTTGCCATATAATCCTGTCCAGTATTGTAGTGTAAAATATCAGATTTCCAGTATTCTGTAAGCTATGTTATTAATTTTGCCATATAATCTTGTCCAGTAGAGAAGAAGAAGATGAATGCCATGTTTCCAGTATTCTGTAAGATATATTCATTTGCCATATAATCATCCGCATCACTGAAATGAAAAATAAATATCAGATTTCCAGTATTCTATAAGGTATGTTACTCTTTCCCATATAGATTTCAGAATTCATTGTATTTCTGTAACTTGTTGTAATTTTGCCATATAATCCTGTCCAGTAGTGAACGTCATTCTAATGAAATCAATAATAAATGAAAACGTCAGTATAACTGCTTGCCATATATGATTTATAATGCTTTAATGTAACCAAAAATCTACGGTCTGTGTAGCTTTCAAGTGTAAGTTGTTTTCAAAGGTGTAAGGTTAAATAGAAGTGTGTCTGATGGAAACAGAATTTTCTTTCAAGTTCCCCACCTTCAGCTTTCCTAAACACAAGTATTCCATGTATGTTATGTGCAATGCATTTGTGTAAGATGTTGGATTGATATGAATGAAATGTTATGACTTTACAGGCAGTAGTGAGAAACTTTCTGATTCTGCAACCTGTTGCAGAGGATCTTACTGTTTTTTTTTCTGGGTTCAATATCACTTCACTCATATCCTTTGCAACATATATGAGTGAAATGATATTGAACTAAGGTAAGAAAAAGAAAACAGCGGAGTAAGAACCTCTGCAGCACAAGAACTGTGGTTGTAAAATTATTTATTGCTATTCTTGTGAACTGCTGGTTTCGAAGTGTGAAGTGATGATGAGGGGAGGACGCATAGGATGGTATAGTAGCATTCTATTTTATTGATCATGCCATTGGTGCTGGTGGCCATTTCACATTTAGTTAGGAAATGTATGTGTAGAGATGGCAGCAGTAATGTCATGTGACATCACCGTGGCCTCACAGCCCACCATTAACAAATTGTTTCTGAGGGGGGGGGTGATAA